AAACATAAATTTCCAGTTATGGAGTAAGAACTACTCAAAACTAAACAGGAGTGGCCATTACAAAGGAAAACATATACTTTAAATTTAAAGAGTATCAAGAGAAAGTAACATGAAATCAAGACAAAACATTCCAGCTCTACAAACTAGAAGTGCAAAGAAACGTGTATTTTTCTAGTACTAATGCAACTTTTTCTTAATCTATCAGTCTTCAGTGGGATTCACAGGACTGCAGCTTTACTCCGGAAAAGTCTCTTCAAAAATGCAGCGCAACTCCACAGGATTTTTGCTTCTCAAGTTTCTTACTCTCAGGGTAAGTAAACTCCCCCTGGGACTTGTACATCAAGCTAGACACATCTTGCCAAGTGCATCCCAAACAGTACTACAGAATTTGTAGGATAAATTCTCCTTCCCAAGCATACATACAACTCAATGGTTTTCAGTGGAAGTCATGCAGATGCAACCAGAGACAATATGTAGACCAACATTTGGATCTGAATTACCGATCTGTCACAAGCTGAGTTTGTTCTGCCCTCAGTGAATTAGCATCAGAGATACAGAAGAAAATTTTTACAGTTCTCCTTCTGACATAAGCTCCATTTCAAGGGACGCTCACCGTAACAGAGATGCCTGACTTTTCAAGCACTGAAGTGCACTCACACCAAAATACTGCGAAACCACAGTGAGTCTTTATCAGCATTGCCAAAAAAAACTTTCATTTCTGATTTCTGCTTCCTCAGTATTCAGGACCTACAGATAGCGGAATACATGAATGACAGTAGACTGCTGACAGCAGAATACGTCCCCAGGGCTTCCACCTCATTTTTAAATAAAATATAACAGGAAGAAGGAAAAGGTGCCCACCACAAAAGGGAGTTGGATTTTTATTTCCAAGATTTTCTCTCTCTCTTTTTAGTGCACTGTCACAGGTGGTCCTGGAGACATGGTTACTGTCCTTTGCCTTCTGACAATCAGATGTCATTCTCTTTCTTTTAATCCATTTCAGCTTTATGTCCATATTCAGGAATCACCAAACAACTGTCATTTGGTTTTTTATAATACATTTATTTCTTCGCTGCTGCAAAAACATGGCCTACAACATGTTCCTACCTGAAAGTCACAAATGTTCTTCATCCTGCCACTTCAAAGCTCTTGGCCAAGATATGTTTTTTTAGAGGACTGGCACCTGTTAACAAAGAACTGCTAGTTAAGGCATAGAATGGGAAATGCCCATTTCTTCCTTGAGCTGAAAAATTGTTAAAGGTGGAAAAGTGGAGACTGTCATGAGGGTAAGAGTTGACAAATGAGTTCAACTGCCTACTGCCATCCACATCACACAACTGGTGACTTCACTCAGGCTCGAATACATACTAGCTTCCTTGAGTAATCCATCTAATATGTTTTCAAGCCATGAGTTAACACACAACAGTGTCAGCTGTTTTGGTTCTTGGGAAGTTATGATCCCTGTAAAGAGCCTCTAAGATAACGCTGCAACCCTCCTGTCAGTGGTCTAATTTAAAGGTGCTGGCTTCAGCACTTGGTAGGAACATGCATTTTGGGGTGATTAATCTATTTATGTATTTATGTGTGTGCATAAAGGTGCATGATATTGGGGTAGCTAACACCTTGCCAACCACTGCTTTGGGCGCAGAGGTGATACACAGACTTCACATGATGCTGCTGCTCTCCAACCACTACATATGAAGCCTGTTCCAAACCACTGCAAGTACAGTATGTTGCAAAGGGTCAGTGAAATTCCACTTTCTGCTCCAAAGTGCACACATTTACCATGATGAGTCCAGCACATATGCAATTCACTCCTCCTAAAAGTAAGGTTTTCTTTCCTGAGTCACATGCCCACAGTCATCGACAGGACTGTGTGTTACATCCTGGAAGAGAATATTTTATAGGGCTAAACTGTGCCCCACCTTTCAAATTGAGTGTATGAAAGATAATTGTAAAATTTCACTTAGCTCCAAAGATAATCAAGAAGCAGGCTAGAGGACAACGTTTTGGCCATGAAAAGGAAAAGCAAACCAACCAAGCTAAATTATGTAGCTCTCATCTCGCCAAGTTCTTCTATATGCCAAACTAAACACAGACTAAACACAAATGTCAAGGAAAATTGTGAAGAAAGAGAAAAGCCTGAGGATTCCACAACCCTGATGGTTTAGTCATGGAAATGGATGTAACTGTTGGTAACAGCTTTCTGTGCCTGTGCCAACTTCTCATCTGATCAGTATTTTCAGGAACTGGTAGATTCATTAATAGATACTTAAATTCAGGATACTTAAAGTTTCAGAAAAAAAAGGTTTGAGAGGTGGGTTGCTTTTTTTTTCCCTTTTAATAGAGCAATAAGAAAAATTGGCAAAAGAGCTCAAGCACATGGGGAAGCAGAAGCTTACAGATTTTTTTCCCCTGAATTCCCAAGTAGAAACACACGTTTTGGCACATGCATTCCACAGAGTCCTTCTGTAGCACATTAAAAACCCAGCTTTTCGTATAGCTGCCGAAAGCAAAGCGTGGGTCTTCCTTGTTAAGGCCATCCTTGTAACTGGTGCCTTACGTGTTACTTTTCTCACTATATGAAGGTGCAGACTGTGCCAGCTTGTTTTTTTGTGAGCAGTGGATCAGATCTCCAGCCAGTTTGAGAATGTAAGTTCCAAACACAACTTTCTGACTTGTTATGTTTTACTGTACTGCCTCGTAATATTGCCCTGTGAAATTGTAAGTTTTTAAAGAGGGATTTTTGCATCAGAAAGCTTCTTTTATTTACCAGTACATATTTGTCCTGTGTCCCACATTCTTCGTAAGATTTGGGACTGAAAAGAACAAAGATATTCTTCCAAACATAAAAAGATGGAACATCACAATAGTATCACCATCACTAGCAAAAATGAACAAGAGATGGCTTAAGTATCTCTAACTTTCAAAGCTTTTATTTCATATTCCTTCTTAAATAGCTGGAACTCAATGAACTTACTTTCTAGAAGTCCACATTTTCTTGAAATGAAGTCACAGTAATGTGCTAATATTATAAACACTGGCCTCTGACCTCACTGCAGAATTAAGCTGGAGAAGGATGCGGGCTATGAAAGAGATGGTTTAAATGGGAATGCTTAGGAACAGTCCTCAGCATTGTCAAGAAGACCAAATGAACATCGCCCGAAACACTCTTCATTCTGCAAAACCTGTCATTTTGCAGAAGTCTTGGCAACATTCATGTTTGCAAACTTGGCAGAAAAGAAATGTTTCTTTATTTTCATCCTAGAAGTGATTATCACACAAAAAGCTTAAAAAGATTCAAAACGTAATAACCTGTTAGCACTGCTGTTCACAACCACGCTGGTGTTCTGACTCCATTCAAACCTCAGCCAGTGCCCATGAGGGCTTCGGGTATTGGCCAGGCAACTGGAAATTAATTTAGACTGCTTCGCTACAGTAAGTCCCTCAAAACAATTTTATACAGCCTTTTGATGATCATAGGGAAACAGAAAAATAACTGAGCTTCCTAATAAAGACGGGAAACATACCACCTCTTTTTCCACGTCATTGAGCAGCCTGTTCCTTGTTTTCACTTTGGCCATGGTGTCCTCCTACCTGTTTTTATTTCAGTCTGAGTTCTTGTCACAGTTACTGAACTGTGCACTGGAACCAGGAACAGATTTGGTAGCCAAAGACCACCATATCGCACCAGTGTTATACATCTGTATTCTACCAGTGCCATTTTTACCCCAGTAAGTGAGGCAAATGGTGCCCTACTCTGATCAACTGCTCAACGATCTCTTTGGCGGACTACTGTTCCTTAGACCTTTTCTGACTACCATCTGCTAGTGTTTGAAATACCCACACTGTAGTAACAAATAGTTTTGCTTTTCATTTTTCTAAGGCAAGGCTCCCAAAGCCTCCTCACAAACACTGAGATTACCCCCTATCTCGGTGCCAGTTTGTTAGCTTTAGTCCAGTCTGATCTAAAAATAAACACACTCCAACAAACGACGACTTAAGTAAAATTTCTGTATGTATTATGTCAGTTACAGTTATGCAATGGCCAAATATTAGTAAATTCGTAGCTAATATTAAATTAAAACTCTGGAAAAAACAGCGACAAACAGTTCCATGGCACGTACCATTCTCACCATGGGGATAATGCTTACCCTTTGTCCAAAGGGACAGTGGAAACAAATATAAATATAGAAACTGTCTCAAAACCGCAAATCTAAGCCTAAGTTAATGCTCTAAACTGTCACTGTCTTTCACTAAATTATTCAGATCCAAACATAAACAATGATTCAGGACATCAATTTATAACGTAATGCTGGTGACCCTGTACCAGTCAAGCTGGATTGGTTTCTGTCCACAAAGCAAACTACAGAGTGGCAATGTTTTATCGCTGGTCTTGCGAGAGCATACAGTATGTAAATATATTTTTTAAAGATATACATACACGTTTCCCCAAATTCAACTGTGGCTGAGTATTCCTCTCCCAGTTTTCAATAATTTTTAAACAAAATAAATACCGAGCCCTTTCTGTTTGGATGCTTTGCTTTGTTTTTCCAGCCTGAATGAGTCTACAGATATTTTCTTAGTTATACAAGGCCAATGTTTCACTTTGCAAACATTGAAGATGAAGGAACACTTGAAGCTTCAGCACCAGAAGGAAAACAAGGAAAAGTGTAGAGGGTAGCTCCATTTGGAAGCATAGAGCTAAACAATTATTGTTCCAGTTTGTTACAAGTAGCTCATAAAGACTTTTATTCTAAGTAGTCTCATTATTCCTGACAACCAACGTGATTCTTATGTGGAATCACACCTTCAACACCCTTGAGCTGATACAGTTTGTAATCTTGCAGAACAACAACACAAACCAGTTCCCCATAAGCACTGGAGAGACCAGAATACTTGCAATCTCTTGCAAAAACGTCATCTCAGTTTATTCAAACCTTCACCTACATCCTTAGAAAAAGAAGTCTATCATACTTGGAGTTTGTTCCTGTTGTTTTTTTGTTGCTGGAGCGATGAGTTCTTGACCTAAAGTTTTATTTATATGTTACGTCGAATGAGGGTAGGGAGAGAAGAGGAGCACCTTAATATTAGCAGATTAATTAGTATTATTTGTGATGACACTGATTTTCCCTGTTTGATCCCCGTCTCTCCTTACTATCCTCATTTTGCTGCCTTTTTCAATTTTTCCAGAGTGTTGTCAACAGAGCTGTGAAAGTTCATTCTTTTGAGAGAACAACATTGCTGATTTCCTCTAAGTCTTTGCTTCCATAGGAAGCAGATACCTGGTAGATTTGCAAGGGAATGCTAAATCAACTATGGAAGTTCTGCACTGGTGTCTGTTTCTGAGAAAGTCGTAGAAGTTCTTCTCTAATTGCTTTGATAAGAGAGGCTGAAGAGTGACCTGGCTGGAGGTCTTCAGTGGAACTGGTGGTGTAGCAAAGGCCCTGGCCCTGAAGGCTGTTGTGTGGAAGCTGAGCAGGGGGTGCCGAAGGCTGCCTGGCTGAAGTCCTCGGCATCTGGAATACTGGTGAGGAGGAATATTCTTGGTGTCCATGCATATGCGTCTGCAAAAAGGTAGAAAGCATTATTGTAGTTTCTGAACAAGCATGACAATCCCAGAAAAGACAAGAAAGCAAAAAGGCCAAGAACAGAGGGAAAGCAGCATGGAGATGCTTCTATCTGCTGCCACTGTTCTTCTGTGGTATGAATGATTCCTCTTATGGAGCACAAAACACATGTACACAAAATTGCTGGACTTCCTCAAGTTCAGGGATTTTCAAAATCTCTTTGAGCATCTATGAAAAGTTTGATCCCTTTTCTAATCTATGGTATGTTTAGAAACTGAAGTGGAAGGACATAGGGAGAAAAAACACAGAACTGGAAGTCAAGAGAATTGGTTTCTCTTTCTTTTCCATCAATTTCCTAAAAGACAAATCACTCTCTTCCTGGCTGTCATTTCTCCATACTATCTATAAACAGAGATACTACAACTTTCACCTCCTTCTCTGCTTGGCTTGCCTGTTCAGACTGTACACTTGTAGGGACTCTGTGACTGACCAGTGCCCAGAAAAACACGGTCAACAGAAGAAGCAGCAAAAGAAGATTATTCAAATTGGAAAGATTATGGGTTTTTTTTATACTTATCAGCTGTTTTACAAATCTGAGAAACATTATCCCAGTTTAGGGACAATCATTGTGAAAGGGTAGAAAGGAGTTAAATCTGCATTTGGTCAGTAACATATTTTCTAACAAAACAAGAGAGAAACAATAATGAAGCCTGAGTTTATGGGGTTGTCTAACTGGAAAAACATCTGCTTACGCTAAAACAAACCATGAATTTACAGTACACTAGATGACCACACGGACTCCCAGCATGGACACAGGCAAGGTACATTTCGAGAACCTAAATTCCAGCTGACATCCCTAAAGCAGGCGTTTCCTCTTGCCTCATATCGCTGAAAGCTGAGAGGCAGCCAGAAGAAAACACCAGATGCAAAGGACTCGGACACACCCTGCTGCACACACAACTGGGAGCGAAGCGGCGTAATCCCCTTTCAAAGGGTCTGCACTGGGGATGAGGATCAACTAGCTGCTGCAAGTTCAGATCTTAGTTATCACAATTTAGTGAGCACTATCTTTCTCTGTGGATAAGCCTTCAGTAGAAGCAGAGAGAGCAATCTGATGAGGGAAGAAAGGACAGCAAGGTCAGCTGGAAGAGGATTTGGGGGTGAGGGGGAAGGGAATGAAGGGATTACAAAGCAGAGCTTGGGAAGGTTATGAGGGACCTAGAGTGACTGCGGCAGCAGTGTGCAGGGAACAAAAATGCATGAGACCATGTTCCTTAACATCTCTCATCATACGAATGAATAAAATCTAAGCCATTTTGTACAAAGTAGAACTAATAATAGATTCTGACTCTCTTGCACAGCTCATGTACAGCACTCATCATTTACACTCTTAATTTGGAGAGAAAGATTAAGAGGAAAAGAGGCTTTAATAGAAGAATGATAGGTAGAGAAGGTTTTCCAAGTAACATCCTGTCTTACTTCTCACAAAAGGAAGGTGATTTTAGTATCAGAAAGGAATGAATAGGTCTCTTGATTGTTCAGAATTATTCATCTGGCAGCGAAACCTGAAACTAATTCACATGTGCAGTCTCGAGTTAGCAAACCTGACAAGTACTCTGTGGGTTTATAGAAAAGAGATGACATTAAAAAATATTAAAAGCAAACATTCCTCAACACCTGAGCCTTAACAGCAACCTAAATTATGTTTGGGTTACTTTCACATTAAAATGCATTACGTGATGCAGCTCCTATCTCATCCTGCACTGAATTAGCACCATAAGAATGGTTTCTTAAGGAAAGTCAGGAGGAAGATCTGATGACCACACTGGCTGTTTTCTAACATTAAGGCTGTCAAAGTTTTCTTAAATATCTCAGAAAAACAGAAGGGTGTATTTCTATGATCTCATATATAATATCAGAATTAAACAGGTCTGAGAACTTTCAAATCCAGATTGGTTTAGAAACTTAACCTACACTAAAATACAACAGCAAAATAAGAAGAGTAAAAAAGCTGGAAGAAATTGTTTTTGTTTTTTACTTTTAAATTTTGTTACTAACAAATACACATTAATATATTATATATTATACATGTAACGATAGTTTTATATAGTATACATAAATTACATATTTTTATATAGAAACTTCTGTATAATTAACAGCACTGTAAAATAATCTTTGACAAAAATATCTTTATTGAATCTTCCTTCTTAAGGAATGAAGATTTATGAGATCACATCGTTAATTTGTTATTCTCCATTTAATAACTATTGAACTCTGTTGCCAATTTCAACTGAATTGGGTGTTTAAATATAAACATACACATACATGTATATATATACATGCATGAACAGACATAAAAAAATTCACAAAAATAGGTAGTTAATTAGACATAACCTGATTTGTGCTATCATAGAATCTGCTTCAAGTGGCAGAAAGACCAGGCCAGGTTGTGCTCAGCTGGACCTGTCAGCCAACATGTATCTCTCAGGTGATAGCTAGGGTTCATGAGAGACAACCTGAAGTATGGTGAGATGGTTTAGAGACACTACGGCGGGCAGCCAAAGTATGAAGATAGAGTTAAAGGACAACGGTGGCTTGGGGGAAACATTGGAAACCTGGAGAAGACTTGGTGGAGAGCTATAGAGGATTGTAGATGGATAGGAGGTGATGCCAGGTGGTGGTACGGAGGTAGAGATAGGAAAGACACTACACATATTTGTAAGAAAACAGCCTTCTTTTGTTCTGTTGCTCAAATGACCACTTGCTCAGTATTGTATTTTGTGTCAGCTAAGGAAATGCTGTAATTATCTTGGTTACCTAGGCCTTCTAGATGGAGAATTGAGGAGAATTGACAGTAACCTGCACACTGGCTTTGGGTCAGGAGACACAAGTGAGAGGTCATATTCCAGTGGAAAATCAGATGTTGGCTGCATAAATAATAGGCGAGGATACCGTGAGGAAAAGGGCCACTGCAGGAACACAAATGCAGATCCCTCTCGAGTTTGCAGGTGAAAAGAGCATTCTAGATCTAATCTTCCTAAATGTAGAGTTTAATTTTAGAAACTCAGCATGAGGGAACAATATGACTGTTTGCAAAGGATAAGTTGCATACTGCACCATAAGGAACATGACTTTAAGTCATGTTTAAATCATGTTTAAGTCATTAAGTAAATTCTCTTTTCCAAAAGGAAGACAGACAAATTTAGAGCTTTTTTCTAGTAATGAATCCAAACTCTGAAGGTAATTATTTAACTACAGAAAATTACAAGACTAGGGCTCATCTGATAATGCTTTTTTTTTTTTTTAAAAAAAAGGGAAATAATCCTTTGGAAAAAAAGAAAGAATTCCCCATAGGAAAAGGAAAGTGCAGGCACTAGATGAGCTCTCCTACAACTAAATGACACCATACTCAGATAGTTCTAGCCCATGATCTCCTCCTTTTGTGCTTTTTTTAAACAAAAAAAAACAAAACAAACAAAAAAAAACAAACACCAAATTGAGAAAACATCATATTGCAGTAACATATGAACAGCAGCAACCCGTGAGCAAAAAGTTCTGTCAAAGCCAAGGAAGTGTTTAAACTCTGATTAATTAAAAAAAGTCAACCTGGATTGAAGTGACGTGTACCAATCTGAAACAGTGACCGAAGGTGCAAATTGCAACCAAATTATATTGTATTGGGCCATGAATCTTTGAGAGTTGTGCAGATAACTCACATAAAAATCAACTGTTTGCATAGCATCTCACATAATGGGTCCATAACTGAATTTCTAGTATTCTGTTAGCAATTCAAGTAATAAAACATTAAGAAAGTAATGGTTGAACATGCACTTGAGGGTCAGAAGGGAAAGGTCCACAGATGTAGAAAAGAAAAGTCATTTTCAGAAAAGAAATACAAATGATAAGAAGGGGCAATGAATGGTAACCTAGAGATGCCTCTGAAAATGGAACAGGAGAGACACTAAGATGTCTCAAGCAAGTGCTCTTCTAGATGTAAACTGAAATTATGATGTTCTTCCACAGTTCCATGTACAGATATCAAGTTCAATTAAGTAAACAGATCTTACAGCTTTGACAGTTAAAGTTTTTGAATAGTATCAGCAGAGTTTGTCCCTAGTGTGCCCAGTTCTCAAAAGCTTTATGCTGCTCCTCTCAAGTTCATTTGGAGAGGTGGCAGCTCGGTTTCACCAAAATCTAAAGATGAGGCCGATCCTGTTGCATTTCCTTTCTGCAAAGCCATTTCAAGATCATGCAATACTGCAAACTTCAAGTGGTGTGAACACACACTGCCCTAAGTATGCAAAAGGAGATCCTTCCTTCCTCCCTCAAGGAAGAAACCAAAAAAATGAGTTTAAGCAAAGGAGCAGAAGGAGCATAAAGTTGTCGCTCTCAAGAGTATTACAATAAAGCTGTCACGGGTCAGTCTGCATCAGGATGCAAGTACCTCAAACATGACCTGGTAGCAGGCAACTATCTTTCCTGGAAAGGCCATATACTATCTTCAACCTCACACATCTGGTTGAATCAGAAACATCAACCTCTAGAAGCAGCACTGCCAAGAACATGAAATCATGATGGTTGCCTAGGCAACACTGGCAAACGAATACATATTAATGTACCACATCCTGCTGATTGAGGGTGGAAAATAACTCTTAGAAACACCTCTACTGTTATGTGCAAGTATGTACCTTATTCTATTGTCCTGACTCCTGCTGTTGTAGACTGATACAGAAGACAGAAGAACTATACCAATACAAAGTAGGACGGTAGTCTGGGACAATTTAATTCAATGTTTTCTACTTACAATGATCTCAAAATACAGAGGCATATTTCAGAGAAGAAAATGGAAAGCAGTATCCACCTCTGCTGGAGCTCAGAAGCAGAACTGGGTGAACTGCAATTAATGGGTGAAGGCCTCAAGTGAGAGAAAAAAAAAAGGTTAGAGTAAAGTGAGAGAAAGCAATTGGAAAGAAGCAAAGGTGAAAGAACAGCAAGCGAAAGTTAGAAGAGCTAACGAGGGTTCGAAGAGCAAAGCAAAGAATGTCAGGGAAGCAACTGAAAGTATTCCAGGGGAAAAAGTTCCAAACAGTAATGCAGGAAATAAAATACCCGAACATATCACTACTTTGGAAACTATGCAAATGTGTAACACAGTACTCACTGCATCTCGCCTAGCATATTCATCCTCTCCACGGTACTGGGGCCACCCTGGCCCCCCCGGCTGGCCATGCCCTGCTCTGCCTGAGGGGATCTCCACTTGTTGACCTCCGATCCTGCTAGCAATTCCCACCTGAGTGAGGTGCTGTATCTGAGAACCTTAAAAGCAAATATTGTTTTTTCATCTTTATATACAGTCAAGTTTGTAGGGCACACAAATGACAACATAAAACTTTGTTGGAAGCAGGAGACAAGAAGGAAGCGGAGCTGTTTCTGTGCAATTAATAAAAAAAAAATCAGCAGAAAGAAGGCTGTCAGTGTAGAATAAAGAAGGAAAAGTTATGTGCATTTTGTGCAGTTCATTGGAGTGTGATGCTTTTCATTTCCACTGCACTGAAAGAAGAGGTTGAGACACATGCATCTCAGACATGGATTACACTTCATTCCAAAAATATGCCAGCCCTTTCCAAACAGCGTTTACCGAAAGCCCTGGCAATGCTTTCATATAAATTACTTAACAGCAAAGAGAAGACATTTACCCCTGTGGTACATCTTATTTGCATCACACTGGCAAGACCCGAACTCTCCAGACTGCTTTCTATTCCATCTCTCAGAAGAATAAAATACATAACTATATAAGAGTACGGTTCTTTCAGCTTTACTTTGTGGTTAAATATTAAACGATGCTGTCGTTGACTAACGAGAAGGTCAGAACACACTGTATCTCCTTTCAGCCTGAAAGCTAACCCTCCTCCTTTCTCCATTCCTTCCCCTCCCCTCCCTCTGCTTTCGAACACATGCAAGGATAGCCACCACCATTAATTGCAAGAGACATGTAACAACATGCCAGCTTTCCTTTCTCCTGAATTTCCTCTCACAAGGAAACAAAATTAATTTTATTATTATTATATTTTATTATACATTAGAAATGAAACACATTTAATAAAACCACACATAAGTAAGAAAACTCTGTGTGTGTGTGTATGTAATGAAAAGGGAGGAAAAGACAAAAACAACAGTGTGATTTACATGATGGACAGTTAGGTCCCTTTCATTTTTTCCTCTCAAAAAAACCCCAATATTTGAGAAGGTTGATATTTGCATGTAAGTATGCTGAAGGACAGGAATTAATTATCTGAATTGTCTCCAAACTTTAAAGCAGAATACACATGAATATTTAGAGAACAGCATGAATCAGACAATAAAATAATCATCATTAAACTGTAACAGTCACTACAACCCTGTCATTCTCATTGTGTAACATTTACAGGGAGAGGATAGTGGCTATCAGAAGTAGGACTCTGACATGAGTATATGATTGTATTTCCAGTCTTTTTCAACTCTCCAGGAAGAAAACATTTCTCTTGGAGAAAATTGTGGCATTCGCATAAGAACAGAATTTTATTCTTAGAATAAGTGTTTGCCGCTTAATTGCCATGTGATGTTAGAATCTCATTCATGATAGCATTGATAAGTGCTACAGAAATTATCTCACAACCAAATTAGGGGAGATAATTTCATATGGGACAGCAGCAATAGATAATATCATCAGAAGCTAAAGATCCTGCTTTTATGCATACATTTCTAGGAAGAGAAATTAAAAATAAAGATGCAGAAAAGTATTTAAAAAATTGTTATTTAGCAGGTCAGTTTGGGATGCATCAGTTAGTTCATTTAGCACAAAAGAAATAGTCAGCAGTGGAAAGTTAGCATACCCTGTATGCTCTAAAACAATTAAGTAATTTAATAATTTTCCATTCTTAGAGAACGAGAGTTTTTTTAAAACATGCTGTGTGATAACCAATGCTTGTGAGATACTAAAAAGCTGGCAAAGCACTGCCTTTTTCTGCAAGATTCTATGGATGTAAAGTTAACCTCACTTTGTGATTGCTTCTTTTTGGCAGAGAAGGACTACATTTCAAGTGCAGTTGAAGGAGAATGACCTCTTCATGGTGATCTCAGTGTAGGAGTAGATATGGAAAAGGATCAGTTATTTCAGTGCATATTCAACTTAAGTAAAGTGTACCTGCAGTGCTTCCAACTGGTCGAGGCCGTGCCACTGATGGCATTTCCTCTGAGTATATCCCTCTGGAGGAATATTGAACCTCAGGTGGCTGCTGGTCTGGGTGCATTAACTCTGCAGGTTGAAGAAAACCTGGCCCAAAGTTCTGTCTGTAGAAAAGTATGGACACAAGATTACAATAAGTGAACTGCCTAATTAGAAACAGTATTGCAGGTGTCCCCCATACAACAACTCTTTATGATGCCTTTTAATGTATATTTTAACCTTAAACGTCAAAGAAAATTACATCTGAGGAATATTTCCTCATTCACAGCCTGCATTGCATAGGAATAGGAATTAGAAACTCTAACAAAATTTCACGCAAGTGTTTTTCACATGTCGTAGTCTCCTCAATGCAGAGAAAATAGTCCACACTTTGTTTTCCCCTTGAGAAAAAAAGTATCTTCAATAAAAAAAAAAAAGGGGGAAAAATAAGATTTCAGTAGTGATGGAGCTGCTTACCTTAGCAACAAATCTGACTCAAGAGTTTCTGGGCATACAGTTTTGGTCTAAATCAAACAATACAAACTGCATTACATGTGTATTTCATGATCACCAAGCGTTCCGATAGTTTTTCAAGAAATTTTCAAACATTGCTCTTTAAGATTCATCAAACTACTTAAAGCTGTCATTGGCATGTATGAGGAGATGCAATGTATACTAAAATTCATGTTTCCAGGCTGGCGCTGGTGGTCATTGGTGTCATACATTTACTGAAAAGAGTTAACAACAGAAACTGTCATCAATCTAATTTCATTATTTGTGCCAAGGTAATGAGACTTGTAAAAGAAACCCCAGAATTCATTCACAGAACAGCAGTAGAGAAGGAGAAGGAAATGCAGCTTTTCCTATGCTTCCTATTATCATATCTTAACCCTGGTATGGAAAGATTATATTTTGAAAGACTGATGGCAGCTGAGTTTTCAAGCATTACTGATTCCTGTCAATGTGGTGGAGGTATGGATGCCCGAACTTAAGGTGCTTAGATTACTAGGCTAGCCTCAGACTCCAGGTATGATCAAAGAAGAGAGACATGCTCCTCAAAGGTATTAAAAGCAAAAGATTAAGTTCACTAAATCATTTTCTGCAGGAGTCTCTCACAGGTGAGTATAAAGGCAACAAAGTGAGACAAACATCCTAAGTCAGGCACATGATATTACAGAAACTGCCAACTAGGGACGTGTTTTGTACGCCTTTTACCACAACAGCACCTAAGCCCTTCTAGGCTGTGGACTGCAAACTATCCCATTCCTCAAGACCTAAGTTCTACACACTTTTGTTTTATAGGAAAATCCCATGACTGCATCTAATTCAAACTATTCTTGATTTGTGCTTTTTTTGGAAAAGTAACCACCTTTGTGTTACAGTCAGATAGCAACAAAAGCTGATATACTAAAAAATAGCCTAATAAAGCCAAATAAGAGCCTAATAAAGCATAAATAAGTAATTGAAAATTAAAGTACTAGCTACTTGGCATACAGTACTAAATGGAGGAGGTATAAGGGGTTCAAGCTGCAACAATCCTGTTGTGGAAGTGTCAGAATTTCCCCAGCTCCCTTGCATACAATCCCACCTGTGCACGAAGCAGATCCAGAGGAAACCATTTCCAAACAGACTTAACGAGCTAGTTAAACGAGCTAGTTAAAATAAATGCTTGAATGGGTAGGTAATGTTTAACAATGTCACTTCTGTTATGCTAATCACTGTAACCAGTAAAGGATGTGATCATTGGGTCCCTTATGCCTGCAGCACTTGGCTGGCATCTTGTAGCTGATAAGTTACTACAATTTTTTGATGTTGTCAACATTACTGCAAATGTATTATTTTTGTGCCAATTTTTCAGAGGACAGGAAGTATATCCTTTATTGTTGACGGGTTTGTACTTGAAAGGTGCACATTTAATAACCCATCACCCTCTCTTCTCAATCTTCTTTATAATACATAGATACAGCTACTCTTCAAAGTCAGAGATCAACGGAAGTGTGTAAAAATGCGATACAGCTCTTAATCTGTATCGTATAGGCTTTTTAGTGCTCCTTCCTACTCCAGACTTAGACCCAGTCTTCAACTTATCTTTGCACATTCAAAAAAATTACTAATCTCCAGTTATTTATTAAGTGGGGAGATATTGCCTCAAAAAAAATCTATTTTACATGACTAATCCACTACGGCTAAGTATCTCTCTCTGCCGCATGACAGAGTGGTCATTTTTTGCTAAAAGCTGTTCAGTATGCCTTTATGTGTGCCTAGCTGTTATGTGACCTAGGTCTTCTACATTTAACTTTTTTTACCCAGGTTGGTTCCACCCCATTAAAGATGCTGACTGCATTTGTACGGAGAAGGGAACAGTATGGTCACCAAACTATTATTCCATGCATTGGATAGTTAAGTCAATGGTCTATGACATTGATACATGCAACTTAATCATGCTGACTTCAGGCTATTTTTCCTTACTCTAATTGGTGCACTATTTCTATCAATTTCTTTATCATTACCTTCTGAATGTGAGCAGAATTCCCGCTCCACAACCATGACAACTCTTTTCTTGTTTTCTATCGATCAAGCTTTAGGAAACTCCTATTTTAATGAAAATTTAAAGGAATTCTTCCTGTTAAGGTTAACGACCTCGCAGATTGTTAACTTAATCTGCCAGCACTGGCAGAGCCAGCACCTGAACTATTAATAATGATGCCATTAATTCGTAACTTAGAGAAATCCAGAGTGCCTATGCCATAGGCTGATAAACTTTTGAACAAAAACTATGCTGCAAAGACACTATCTTGCTCAGGTGTATTAACACAGGTTGCAGCACTTTCATGATTAATTTATCACATTTTCCCTGAATGCATAACAGGCCAACAAAGAAAAAATCCTCAATAACCAACAATTGGTTATGCTTTGTGTTGGCAGGCTCAAAGCTCATAATTTTCAAGGTAACCTGAATTACACAAAATACACTGCATGTCATAGTGTGTCCCTTTCATGTATGCTTCACTCACACTGAAACCATCACCTTCAGTCAAGACCTAAGTAAGAAAATGTGATTAGAGACTCCTCCTTTTCTAGTTGGTCCTTTCAAAATTGGGTTGCAGAACAATGGATAATGGAAAGTTCTTCATATCCATTTTACCATCAAGTTTCCAAGGCAGTGAAGACTTCACCTGAAATCTAATGAATGACACTGATGCCAGCAGATTTCATCTCACATGGTGAGCTGTAAGAAGATAATGAGAGAGCAGCACGAGGCCACCTTTTTACCAACTTGGCTGCAGCAGCTTGGAGAGGGTGAGACAAGTCTGACCACAGTAGGTACCATGACTGAAAAGTCCAACTTCACGTGTCGTTAAAACACAGACAACAAATGTGGAATTAACAGTCAACTGGACAACTGTTTTCTTCTCCTTACATGATCGTCCCTCAGTAAGAAAGTGGAAAAATTGTTCTTCCCTCCTGATGTTATAATAACAGGCCTGCAAGGCAGGCTTTCTCTGTGAGGGTCACCATGCTCTGTAATTTGTTCTCAACTTGGTTAAAACCAGAACGAATCTGTTAGTCATCCACAAACTTTTGTGAGCGAGTGTTGCCCTGAGGCTACAGAAACAAGATGAAAGCGAGAGTATTGGGAGAATTACATGCATCTGAGTAACTGTTTCAGGCTCTCTGAAAGTTGAAACTCAGTGGTTTACTCAGTATTTGGAAGGATATCTATAGGCAAAGAGCTAGAAACATTTCTTTTAAATGGAGGTTTGGATTCCATACAGCATGCGTATGTCATTCATGCTACATAAATAAATTACACAGGCTGGATCTGGACTCCTGTTACTTCTCATTTATACAGTAGTTTGCATAATAATATACTCGTGCCAGTAAGAACTCCGAAGGAATTGCGAAGAAAATAATAAATGATAATTTTATCAGTGAAAAGCTACCTTGGTAGGAGACCTGGTGCTGTTGGCGGAGTCATTCCAAACTCCACGTACCTCTGTCAAAAGAACGAAAAAAAAAAAAATTAAAACCAAAATGCATACCCTGGGATGCATACCACTGTCAGCCTTTGTTGTGGTTTAGGTCAATAAAGAAGAACTAACTCTGTCCCAGCTGAAATCAGGACAGCCTTTTAAGTAATGAATGGCAGAGATCACTAGGCCTGTATGATTGCAACCATAGGACCTTAGTTTTACAAACCCAATCACACAAGAAGATCTGAGAATCACTGCCACAGTGGGCTGGCAGTCTCTTTTGTCTAATCAGAGTCTTTACTCAACTGAAAAACCTTTCAAAAATACTTTCTCTCACTTGCAGAAGATCAGGGGTTGCTCCAGTGCCTACTTAGCTTACAACCTTCAGCAAACCAAGCTTTGCATTTGAAAATCTCTTTATACCCAAGCAGCATCAGACTGCAGCAGAGAGACCATGGGTTCAGACTCAACAGTCCAATGGCATTATGAAACTTCTACTGAATTGTTGTGGAACTGGAGATCGTCTAAAAGATTATCTGTGTGTCTCAGTGCCCCATAAAATGCAAAAAATCATACTCAGAAATACTGCTTCTCTATCCTTCATCTCCTGAAAGCATTTGGATGGACTGCTGGAAAATACGACCTAAGCCAAATACATTCTTTTTTCAGTGTCAAAATATGAACTAGCACCTAAATTTTAAAAAACATGAAGTTTTACTCAGAACAGAAAAGTTATCCTAAAGGAGAACAACTTCTATCTTCTCTTGTCATTGGGATGGGAAAAGGAAAAAGAATCCAAACAGCTTAAAAAGCAAGTTCACCATCTTGTGACAGTCATTTCTGAATTCTCCTGGTTCCAGAAACTGTCCACATTTGTGATAAGTCCTGACAGAAAGGGCACAGTAACAGCAACCATGGCTCAACTGGTGCTAACTAACTGCCCAGAAAAGCCTTTTAAATTGCATCACTCACATTAAATGGGTTGTTTACTGCCTGAGTTGGACCATAAGGTGTTCCCCACTGGGTGCATGTGGTTCCCCTCCCTGCTCGAGCAGGAGTGTTGTTTACCGGCTGTCCTGCAGAGACCCCGGGTGGCGTGACGGCCGTGGAATTGGCTGCTTGGCTGCTGGGGGCCACCAGCGCAAAAGCATCGTCCAGCAGCGAGTGCATGGTTTGCCGAGCCTCTTCAATGGATGGCTGAGGTGGGACATACTGGGAGACTGGGTGGGAAGGCAAGCCAGGGAACTTCCCCAGATCAGCTGAAGATGATGTCTGAGGTTCAGGAGGCAAGTCTGGATCAGACTGGAGGAAACAGAAAAAAGATGAAGAGCAGCCAGGGGGAAGATCTAACCAGCTGACTTCCAAGCCTCAGCGGGCCTTAAGTCTAAGCAACATTTTCCTTGTCAGGACTACAATAAGATAAATGGCACAAGTGTCAGTGCTGGACAAAACCTGTCCCTTATCCTCTCCACTTCTGCATGCACATATGCATGCACATACATGACACCAGCTGTTCAAATACTTCATTGAGTGTGATCTGGAAGACTCCAATCTCAGGTAAGGAAGCACAGCTTTGTGCAGGAGTTACTCAGCTATAAAAGAAATCTCGCGGTTTGCAAGCACATAATGAAGTCATGCAGAGCGTGTTGGCTCCACTAAGAAAAAGACAATCAGCTTTGTCTACATCTTTGACTTCTCTGCAGCTTTTGCAGCCCCAAGAAATTAATTCAGTCTTTAGCTTAGAACTGACCACATCAGCAGTAATATTAAACAATTATTACCTCCTAGAAAAATGCACAAAGGGAGCTGTTAAGCAACTAAGTGGTCAGCTGCATGGAACTTGAACTTGGGTGCAACACCTGAATGGTACTCATGTCAGCGCTTCATAGCAGCAATACCTGAGGTGTGCATCACAATTGCTACCTGGGATCTTACCACATGCGCTTATTGTTCATCAGTAATAGGAAATGAAACGAGCTTCGCAGCAGCAGAGTTATTATATCAAAGCTTACTCTTACACTGCATGCAGACTGCAAAATCAGTCGTCAAGATGCAAAAGCCCCTACCATCAGGAGCTTATCATTCTGAGTACTGTCTCGCTACAGATGCCAAAGGGGCTGAGCTTGCTGTGTGACACATCTTAACTAAACAGCTTCAGATGATAATTCATTCTGCTGCAGCAGGACATTAAAATCGTCACACTCTTGTTAGAAGGCAGAGGGAAACCACAGAAATTGACACTGCAGTCACTTGACTGCATATGCAGCTAATGGTGAAATTCTTAAAATTATTAAACCATCTTTCACAATGAAAACTGTCCAGAGGTTTCCAATATTAGCATTAGGCTTATTAAAGTCTGCTTAGAAGTGGTTAAAGATGCCTAAATTCCGTTTGTGACATGGATATGATTGAACAGAGGCATTCTCCAGTGTCTTTGCCTTTTTTTTAGACAGGAAACAAAATTATTTTTCCAGATACTGTACTAGAATTGTTTCAAGTTACTGCAGTACAAAGACATTTTTCTCTGTCATTAATAATTATTTCTCACATTTTAAAGATGAGAAAATTTCTCATGAAAGGAACTGAGTCTTCCACTCTGTGAGAGCAAAGGTTGAAATTTTCTGTAACATATGAATACGTAACATCCAGCATATTGGACCAGAGCGAAACTACATTCAAGATATTGCGGAACACGCCAAGTACACTTTCATGTGCATAATCCAGTGGCATTAATGAAAACAAGGTTTTGGTTCTCAGCCTCTAATATCAAGGAATACTTGGCAGGATTTTACTGCTTAATACTGACAGACTGCCAGTGAAATCCTTGTTTCACTTTGATTTACATGCTAACTACATGTGACTGAAACTAGTCATACAGACCATAGTCAGAAGGCCAAAAACCTCCCCATGTTACAACTGTCATTACAATTATCAGAAACTCCTGTCATTCAAGAGACATACATACAATATATGCAGAATTATTGACTCCTGGAGGCCTTTTGTATGTTCCGTCACTGTCAGTTGTGATTAACCTGTCCTTCTCTGCATCAATCGGACTACCATTTATCTGATGTCGCCGGCGCTGCTTGGGAGAACGTTTTGCACGAGAACTTAACAGGAAGAAAACAAAAAGCAGAGGGAGAGAAAAAACAAATAAGACAGAAGTAACGACATTTCTTTTTGCAATTTTTCTTGTCATCCTACTCGAGGTTGAACTCCTTTGCCCATTCCCTCCAAGTCATCCTTGCCTCAGCCCTGTTTCTCTTCCCTTTTCCAGTATTAGTGCCAGTCCCATTAGTTAGCCTCAAATCTCCTCAAGCTTCTCCTACTGACAGTCTCAACGGCAGCTCTCCAAGCTGTCCCCTTCCTCCCCCAAACTGTCTGCAGCATCACCTCTCTTCCACATTTCATCTTGCAAAGTTATCCATCATCCATTCTCCCCCAGTGCTTCTCCAGTACATTTGCAGCATCAGAACAGACCACACTGCCAACAAGGTTTTGCACTTGGCATGTTGTGTTTAACCCTACCAGGTAAAATAGCTGAGGAACCCATGTAGCTGGGAAAAAGCCACTTTATGTCACTGCGGAAGCAGTCACAGGGTACCAGAGCTCCAGGAACAAAGTACAAGTGTTCATCAGCCCGAAACAGAGCCCAGGGAAGACTTTCTCTGAAAATACAAGGCCAGGAAGGCAGACACGTGAGGCTGACAAATGTGCCTCATTAACCAGAGTGAAAATGTAAGATGTTATCTTGTTGATTTGTGCATTTGCCTTTAAAATTCAGAATCTTCATGCTTTTTAAGTTGTTCAAGGGTTTCTTTATTTTGCATCTTTCCCCCCTTTATAAAAATATTGTTTCTTGCAGTTCCTATTATCTGTGAATCTTTTTCCAGTGCTTATTTGATCCCTCTACATCACACAAGAATTATTCGAATAAAAGGCAGACAAAATACTAAATTGTTTTAAGATAGTTTTCATACATGTGGGTTTATTTGTTGAGAGTTCACTGCTCAGAACTTGTAAAAGACTAATTTGAAAACAAACCATACTGGCCTATACTGGAATAAACAGAAGTGTTACATCAGTCCAAACCTTTTCACCTAGATAAATTCAACTAATGATCAAAATGATTTTAAGCCCTGAAAGTTCAGAAGTACAGGTCTGATGTACTTTGGATGCTGACTCTAAAAGAAAATTGTTCTTTCCCATCTTTGAAATCCTTACCTCTTCCTGGGCTCTATGAAGACAGTAGGCACACTGCCTCCAGGGTCCAAGATCTTGTCAATCTGCATCTGTGCCTTGCGATATATTCTGTGCTGTTCTTTGGAGTCAACCACCACCACATCATCCACCACTGGAAATTCATAGTGCCCTTTGCGTTTGGCGCGCAGACGAATCTTATTGCGGTGATGCTCAATCTCAGATTTATGCCTCAAGGCTGTTTGTATCTTAAAGAAGACAAAAAAAAAAATCAACTGCATTTTTCATTGTAGTTTTTGCAAACAGAATTTTTTGCTGTTCCTCCGTAAACCTCTCCTTCTCACCTCCTTCCTTGCCTGCCTCTACCTTCCCTAAATCACTGAAAGATATTAAATAAGTCATACAATTTGTAAACACACTTTCTTTCTTGGATATTTTGCAGTATCCTTATTGTCTCTCCGCACAGATGTACTATTATACACAATACAACTACCAGAACAGCAGATGCAATTAGAGAGAGGTGGCAGTTTGTTAACAAAAAGCAGGAGGAACACGAAAAACTCCTGCTGTCCGCCAGAGGTGACACTGCTCTGAAAAAATAAGACTCATCAGTACAGGCTATATCTACCTTTGCTTGTCTAACAGAGATACATTTGATCAATAGCATTGAAGTCTGTCACCCATTCCCTTTAATGACCTTCATCATGTAAGAAGCAATAACTTCAAGAGCTAACTGAGCTCAAAAATCGGTGCTTCTGCTGAGCGTGAGAGGCCACCACAAGCTATGCAAGCGCCAGGTCCCTAGATGAGCATGGCATTATCAGCTCTACATCTTCCATCAGGCTGAGCTTCCATGTCTCCCTTCCACCCTTTTTTCCAACTCCCTGGAGTGCATCTCAGCATCTGGGGAAAGCTACTGTAACACCAGACTTTTAAGGTCCTGGCCCATCACTCACTGAAATAATTCTTATCAGTGGAAAAGACTTGGGCACCAGATCAGGTAGCAACAACTTCTTTGCCTGTGCTGGACTCGTTCTGGAATGCATCTGCAGCAGCGAATTAAAAACCAAATAAAAATTGATTTTTGTGTATTCTTTCATGAAAATCCCAGAAAAAGCATAAAAAGGACATAAACCAGACTTACTCATTACATTTATAGTTAGAATTATATGTCTCCTGCCCATAAAACCAGATTTCTGTTTTGTGGCCCCTCTTGTCTATGTATACTAGATGTATGTATTTACCTCTCTTCCGTAAGGTACTCAGAAACATAGGATCTTAACACAGTTAAGTTCAAGCTTTCAGTAATCTACCTCTCTGACTTATGAGAAGATGCCATCTTTGTACACAGAACAAAACCAGGATGCAGGTACACGGCACTGTCAGGCAGTGTATGATGTGGCTTTACAGTGCATTACCTTCTCTCCTAATGCCCCAAGCATGCTCATATTCTGCTTACAGTAACCTGAGCCTCAGAGAAAGCAGGAAGTTTCTGTATCTTTACCATCAGATAAACACATCAGAAGTTGGAAGCAATGAATACGCTGCTAATTCACACCCTAGAATATCTTGAGATAACTTGTTTGTATAACCCACATCCTGAGTTGCTGAAAAGTCAAAAGAATTGTGTAGAATGAAAACCTAAGTGGGTCAGACATTCCAATCCTCACGTACTAATTAACACAACTCTCGTAAGTCGTGTCCTGCTGACTACCAAAATGATGGTAACACAAGGTATCCTGACCACCAAATTTGCTCCTCTTTCAGTGTTCAAGTTTTGGGTTAGGTATCTCTTAAAAACAGGTCAGACTATCGCTTTGGATGGAAACAGGATTATTCCTGTAACTTGTCAAAATCCAACTCCTCAGGAACTAACGACGAGCTCCTGATAACAGGAAACTGGATACTTTTCACTTCCTTCTTGGCTGGGCAAACAGTCCTCCACAAACATTCAAAGCACTTCAAAAATACCTCTTTATTAATTTTGTTGGTCTCTGCTACTCGATCAGAAAGCACCGAGTTCTGAACCGGAGGCGCTGCCATCGGTTGCATGGCAATCAGCTGGATCTTGCTTGGGACCCGTCTGCTGGCATCTGAGGAACGTGACATCCTGTCCACATGTTCGAAGATAGAGGCTGAGGAGTGTTGCTCGTTTCCACTGCTGGTCTGAGGAGGTCCTAAATCACCAGAACAAATACAGAGTAAAGTAGTGCTGCTAGGGTTATCTCAGTTAAATGTTTAAGCTCTACAGATGCTATGCTACAAGACTATGCCATGTTTTCCATCTGTGTTTAATTTGCCCTATAGGTCTGCCAGCTGATTCACATTTAGCATACAAGTTCACCCAGTGGTTTGTAAATTGTAAACATTTTTCCACTATATTTCCAGAAGGTGAGCTGTCATTCTTTATTTCTGTAAATCAAGCTCTTGGCATTTGCAAGCCCCCAAAATCTCAATCTACTTTACTCCATAAAAAGCTGTTCAAGTACATACTGCTAATGGTTCCTCTTATCAGTACTTAAGGAGATGCAAATTCCTTGAATGAAAGTTCGAAGAGCAATAAAAGATGTCTCACTGCAAAATGTAGTTCTTAGGACGAGTGACATATGAACTGAACAAAAAACCCCTTAGAAATTCACGCAAAACACAAAGAATTTTATAGACATTTTACTGATTAAAGCTTTTAAAGCACTGTTTTCTTCTCTGTGACAGGATAAACAGTTCACATAGTAAAAGGCAAACTGCACAAATATTGCCATGTTGCAATTTGTTGAAGAGGTTATATCAACTCAAACATGATCGGCAAAAGACGTTAAGGAAACCAACACGTGAAAGTTGTGGTCCTGGTCCTGCCAACAGTTCATCATTTCAACAGAAATGGGTCATCTCCCTCAAAAGACTTGAAATATGCAGGATCACCCTAGTGGTTTGCAGTTAAGCACATACTTAAATATTTTTTTGCTGGAACTAGGCCTACAACAAGGACCATTACATGGATTAGGCTTCCAAAAACTATTGAAGACTTACAAAATAATCTTTTGTCTGGTCCACATGGTAGCACCACAAATTCTCAAACTGCTTTTCACCATGAAGTATAAACAATAAGAGATTAAGATTTGTGACTTTTCTTACGGAAGAAGACAACAGAGCAGAGGGACACAGTCCCACATTCTTGCAGACTTCTAATAATGGGCTGTGGTTCTCAGATTCAAATCAGGAGGAGAATCTGATTTGATTCCAATACAGAATCACTTGTTGATCAATCTGATCCAAATGCAAAAGACAAGAAGGAGAAGAAAACAGCCATTGTTCCGATTCATTTGCAACATGTGCTGGTAATGAAGTATAGGGTTGAGAAGAGGAGTGAATGCTATCTTCTGTAGAAGATCACAGTAGATGACTTGCTCCTTTGCTTCCCTCTTCTAGCACAAAAAGGGAGCAGCAGAGAAAAGGAATGGTACATTGTACTAGATTCACAGCACATTACTTTTGGGCTGGAAAGCAATCTGGCCACAAGCTAAGCAAAATTCTTATTTTTCATATTTCTCAAGCTTGATCAATGCATTGTCAAAAGTACGCACTTATAAATGGTATCCATCATTTATAAATGTCTTTCCTATGTAAGTGTCCTTTATTTTTAAACAGTTCCACTAAAGATCTGTGTCCCAAATGTTTTGCAAGACACAGCGCCTAAACGAAATATACCTATCTCTCTTCTGTAGCTATTTATCTGATCTTTACCATTTGTCATCTTCACAGCCCCATCTTCATGCGTTTCTTAGAAGGATGCAAGCATTGCCTCTCAGAGAGAGGGACACAAGATATATTAAGTAGTTAGTGTGAATTCCTCAGAGCAATCCTGTAGTACAATGAAATCTGAACTTCAGCATCCATCTTTCCCATTTTCCCCATACATTAGTCACTTTTTCCAGCCTTTCCAGTCAAACAGCAGTTCTCAAAGCTCACTGACCTCCACCATAAAATTTTAAGGTTATTTTCATACTACTAGGTTAGCGAAGGCCAATATATTCAATTATACTGAGCATTCACTCTAAATCTCTATAACTTCATCCATAACTTTTCCTTCTGTTATTCTCCACATAAACGAGTACTTGGCAGAGGCCTCTTGGCTGAAATGGTTCTTAAACTCATTTTATAAAGCTATCCAAAAGCCCCACTGTAAAATTTTGGTAAGGCTCTACAGTAACATCGTCTGTTACTTCCTTTTGCAGAAAAGATGCACATGCACACACACACACACAAAAAACACCAAACCAAAAGCTGCATATGGCCTTTAAATCCTCTCTATGTGTATACACTGAATGTGTCTATAAATACAAACCAAGATGGAAGTATAGTGAAGTAGATAAGAAAGCCAAGAACTACACAGTGCTGCTGTACACATATGACAAAAGGAGAAATGGTTTCTAACTCAACACATGAACGAGTTCCTTTAGAAGTTCTGACAGAGTGAATAAGAATGGTTTCTCATTTCAAAGTTCTTATATTACACTATTGTCCATGGTTAGAAAATCTGTCTTTTAAAGCTATCAGATGGCATTATATGAATGAAATTTTCATCTCAGACTAGACAGCTGAGGCTGAAAAATAATAGAGAGGATTTAATACCCAAAGAACGGGCAGGACACATTCAAAGAACTAGTCCATACCGGTCACATGTCAGGATCAATGTTCATCACTGTTCCCTGAGTTGAAACCTCTAATTGAACTGAAATGTCGGGAAAATGGATTGCTCTGCAGAAAGCTATGATTTCATATGAAAACCAATACAGTTGGAGATAGAGGAAGGCTATTGCTTCCTGCACCCTTTTGGACATAAAAACAAGAGGCACAGCAACTAAGGTGCATATAGCCTAATCCAAAATCAGATAAAGTCAATAGGAATCTTCCACTGATCCACTGGTGCTTGAATCATGCCAGAGTATGCAGTTTCAGGTAAATTTCAGGTTTTTTTGTACCCCAGTAGATTATGTGTCAAGGATACAGCTGGTGACTCTGATTAGTTACTTGTACAAACCCAACAATAGAAAGTATCATAGCCAGCCTTTCATCCATCCTTCTTTACCACTACAAGATGAAAACTGCTATCAGAGGACACAATCCTTAATTTATCTCTAGATATGCTATGCATTATCAAAGACAGTGTCAGCTTTACCGTGCCCCATCTTTGCTATGTTTCAGTCCTGACCAGAAAAACACTAGTTCATGAGAAAATATTTATGCTGCTTTGCAGGTAGCCTGCAAAGTCTCGGGCTTCCAGTAAAGACACTAACTCTAACAGCATCTGTAACTTGTTTATGCAAAGCTAGTTTCAGGACCAACAGCTGCCTCAGTTCTGCTTCTTTCACAGTGATGTTACTCTCAATAATTTGAAAGAATTGGGAGGAAATTAGAAAAATGTGCCTGAATTGGATGACTATAATTTGTGTTACCGAGAATTTTTTATACTTCAATAGCTCAAAAGCAATTTTGGTTGTTTTTTTTTTTTAAGACTCAGAAGACAAATCCTTCCATCCTTAAGATATAATTGCAGCTACCCTAGCATATTTGTACTCAACTACCAGCTCTGGTTACTTACCCACTCTGTTTGCTCCTGACAACATAAAAGAAAAAGAAGAGACAACACAGTAATTACTACAAATAATTCAGCTAGAATGGCAACTGGAAAAAAACACAGCAGTAAGATGATTGCATTTACTTTTGAATGAAATGCATGAGCTTGGATCAAACCACCAAGCCTCAGCTGCACAAAAAGGGAGCTGAACCTGCCATTTAACGGACAGAGAGCTCTCTGCAGACAGTCCCTCCAATTCTGAATGCTAAAAATAGTCCCTATGATTACCAAACTAGAGGAATCAAATGCTGAAAAAATAGTATATTTGATCCAGTATGGGCATGATCGGCAAAAAGGACACATCTAACACAATATCTTTGCTGTCTCTGCCAGATAATTTAGATGCAGCAATACCTAACGCTTGACACCAAAAGGATATATTACACCTCACATAAGGGTTTTAAGCTAGGTGGAAAATGAAGAGACAAAAATGGAGCTCCAAGGTAAGAAGAAAGGGGAGAGAACTAAATCAGGGCAACAGAATTGAAGTCAGATAGGTTGGAGCAACTCATAAACCATTCTGAGATGTGCTCTGTGATAGCATAATCATTTTCCTATATATGTACTTGGGCCTGAGTTCTGGTCCTTAGAGCAAATGTAAGGCACTGAAAACACATACAGCATCAGTACAGCATATTTTTTTGTAAATTGTGTCAAGTACATACAGCATACTCTGCCTGCTGAATTATTAGGAAGTATAACTTTCTAGTCACATTAGCAGACCCTGTGCTTTGTTTTCGTATATGTTTGTTACAGAGGAAAGCCTGCTCCATCACCCTTGCTCTTTCAGGAGTAGTTCCACATTATGAAAGTTTAAGAATCATACGCTATTTAACTTGCTGTTTAGTCACTCAAGAGCTAGCAGTTTATATAAACTATCTTACTCATTTCTCAATCTCATTTCTTCAACATAAGCAAAAATCAAAGATTGTCTGCTATGATCCAAATTTCACTGGCATTGCATTCCCTAGCAGTCATCTTTACATCTCTGCTGGTATTTCATGAAGTATGTGGAAAACCATTCAAGATAGTGAAGAGACTGCTCAAAATGTGGTCAATATTTTCTTCTTCTCAGTTTCTGCTGCCACCAAGGCCATGTGCATGAACAGACTGAGACATCGCAAGCTCCTTTACCAGATATTCAGTATCAGAATTTTCTCTAGGGAGGCTATTGTGATTTAAGGCAAAGATCTGGTAACTAAAACCTCAAGCAAGGAGTAAGCCATCTAAACCCAAAAGGCTCTCAGAAAAAAACACTTAGCATTTGTGGTTAAAACAATGTTTTAATTTAAAAATGGAAGTGGGTTTGCAGCACTTTATCAACTTTTCGATGAGGAAAGAAATGTATCTTGGGGTACCTCCAAGACAGGCGGTGGCAATTTAACTAGAAGAAGGATGGTTCTTTACAAAAAAATTTCACTGTTATTAACATATTAGCATTGGATTTTCATCTTTCTAAAGCACAACCATTAAGGCATTTTGATGTTTGAATTAGTTATTTGTACAACGTTTACCTCTCTGGTCTCTTTTTTTCTATCTCACTTTTTCAAAGTTACAGACACATACCTATGCTATATCAAGTCCTGTTGGGACCTCTACTGCCGATGTAACTGTCTGTAAGAGTCCTAGCACAAGAGCCACAGTTAGGCCTAAATGGAAAGAGGTTTGCTGGGGGTGTGTGGGAGAGAAAAGGAGGGAAGATTCATTCTTGCTAAGCCATTCATTTCAAAAGCTTGTTGGAATGAAAGGAATGCACAGATCTTCAGCTTCAACAGAAGAAACTAAATCAAAAAGGAGAGAGGAAGAAAATTTTCCACGACACAAACTAGAAAAAATTCACAGCCACAGACGTGTTTAGAAAAGTTACAGCACTAGAGTAATTCTTCAACTTGAGTAAAGCACTGCTAGTGCACATAGAAAGGAAAAAAAAAAAAGTAACAAACCCTTCTTTGCTGCTCTGTGTGGTTTGCCCTCATTTGTAACAGTTGGTCTTGCAGTTTCTTCTCCTGTCTCTCTCTCACTGGATTGTTCACTTGCTGTGGAGTCAGCATCTGATGGTGAAATTCTGCCACAAACATTAAAAACACAAACCAACACGTAATATAAGTTTGTAAAGGCACACAGTTCTCACACACAAAGAATCTTGTGTTAAAGTATCTTGCGAAGACCATTAATATTTTCCTCTGTTTATAAGTAAATTTATTATAAATTATCATAGTTATATATTCATTGCCATGATGCTACTGTTGTTGTGTGTGAAAACTGACTGCAACAGGATTCACACGTGACAAGATTATTAACTAATCTTTCCTTTAAAATACACTTCAAGACAACACTGTGCATTCATAAGTAGTAACTTACTTTTCAGACAGAAAAGAATTATATTAGAAATAAGAAACCCACACAGGTAATTAGTTTAATATTCAGACTTGCTAACTTGGTGTTTTCTTGCTAATAATACAAGTCCATGTGCATGTTTTCCTGACTAGTTAAAAATAGGACCATTAAGAATTGCTGCTTTTATCTATTTATCCATGCAGTCATGAGATTCTTAAAAACATTTGTTAGCTACAAATTACAATCTCAGTGTTCATATTTTTTGTGAGAGATTGCAGAAGAATATAAAGAAATACTGTGATTTTCCCCAACAGAATTATTTCAGCTGTAAAATTACTGAGATAGTATAAAACCAACAAAAATATGACATACACCATCGCCCAGTTGACATCAAAGCCTGTCTTTTCACACAGGCTCAGTCTTTGTGATACTGTCTCTAGTGACCATTTTGCCTTGTGAACATTCATATCCTATTCCTGCAGGGAGTTATTCACTGAAAATGTGTATTAGTCTGTGCATCAACCTTGTTAAGTGCAAGATTTGCCTGGGCTGGACTAAACTAGTTACTGAGGCTCTTGGCTAAACATCAACCTGCCTAGAGCAGGGACTAAGATAACTACACCCAGCCAGACAAGTTCACTGAAAGTTAAACCAATTCCTTACAGCAGGCAATGCTCTAAATTCAACTCCCCTTTTTCTCCTTTCTGAACAATGCACAGATAATTGAACTCTGTCTTTCATTCTTTTCTGCAGGACTGTAATATTAAGAAGTCACATTCCAATTAGAAAAAAAAAGAGTATTAGTGGGGAAAAAAGGAGAAATGGTTCTCAACGAGTTTACAGATCTGCTGTATTGCATCTTTTCCAATTTCTGAGGTGGAGAGGGTGGGTAGAGCTACTGTGTCCATCACCTTTGTCTTGGTCCAGCAGGGTGTAAGGCTGGAGTTCTGCTTCCAGATCTGCTACTGACTTTGTTTCACCTTATTGTGCCTTGTTTTCCTTCATACTTTTCCTCAGTCTATCTAAATTATCATTAATTATAGGAACATAAATAGTGCTAAGTCGACATCAGTCTTTCTCTGTAAGTGCTAAGAAACATGCCGTTATATCCTCTCAAACCAAAGTAACAGGTCCAACTCTCAGCTGGAGCCTAGAGATGCTGTGCTTTCTGAACTCAGTTGTTACTTTTATTTGCTGCTTTTGACAGATACAGAACGTGTACTCACATCACCATTGTATTTCCTGGCATGCAACATACAGTCCTAAATTGCACTGTGATGAACTGAGTTCTGTATTTCCTCACAGAACAGAAAACAGCTAAAACCAACATAACACACTATGCTATCATTTCACATTTCCACTTCTGCCTCAGGGAATAAATGTTTTAAATCTCAAGCTGACATGGGCATGTCAGCCTGTTAAGAAGATGATGGTAACATCTCCATAGTTGAGCCTAAAGGGAGATTTGCTCTTAAGGGAGGATGAGGGAGAGAAGGGAAATTCTCTTTTTTGAAGTGTTTGAATTTAGATGCTATTAAAAAAAATAATAATCTTTGTTCCAAATTTGATCAATGATTCACTATTGTCTTCAGAGAAGCATTAAAATGTTAGCTTCTGAAAATTTTTCCTCTTTCATTTCCTGAATTTATCTAGATGAAATTTAACAGCCTCAAGTTTAAATTTCTTTCTTATACTTACGTGCATGTGAATATAGATACCTTCCCCTCCCCCTAAGTATCACTTGTCTTAGGTCACTTTTGAACTTTTTAAAAGAAACACAGAAACACTTGTCCTTATGATTTACATTAACTTAAATATTTAAGCTACACTAAAACAAGTTAGCTAGTTTTTCTTCCATTATTTTCTAATTCTGCCCCCCTTCCACTGTACCACTTGTAGTCTACTTCTAGCAAAGCCTATAGGGAGTTAGGAAGACAGGCTCAGCATCTGACAAGGCGGAAACTGAGCTGTACAAAGCCTATATGGGGAAGGTGAAGCAAGGATCTTAGGGCAACTGGGGCTTTGGAGGAAGCACAGAAGGTTGAGCAGAGGAGCAAGCTGCATCACAGAGACCTGCAGCTCAGGAAGAACCACCATTAGTGGTTCAGGGCTTCATCTTTTTCCTAACTATTACCTTCCACTTACCCCTTTTTTTTTTTTCAGTTTTAACGCACAGAAAAGCCTTGATTGCATAGCTCTGTTACACCGCCTATCTGATAAACACAATCCTTTTCAGCAAGACACATTAACATCATTTGATTATTGGAAAAGGTTATGAAATTACTACTGAAGGTTGACAGGCACTTCTCCACTTGCATAGCTGTGAATTATCACTCCTTTTCCTGATCAAAACTGGTTTGCTATCAGAGCAACCAGGTAACCACAAATAAAAACACTCATGCATCTTCCCTGATTTTTGGAGATGCTGCTCATTTCTGGAAAGTCCAACTTATAATACATGTATTGATCACTATTAATATTATGGAATCACACTGCTATTCATCAGTAGTGTTAGTTTGTTTTTAACCAGCCATTGCCTTAGTAGCTAGAGGTCACTACGAAGAGAATGCATCAGAAAATATACACTTGGTGTTCCCACTAAACAAGCAATGACTTGACTGCAGCCAACCTAGTAGTGTTTTAAATACCCCTCTTAACTGGGCACGGTGCCTTTAAGAGAAAAATGGACACTAAATTCTCACAACCTTCTACTAATGAGTAGCAAGGTGTAACTCTGACAGCCCACTAGAAAATGCAAGTCCCGGAGCTCTGAAACAGTTCTTTCCACTGAAATTGCCTTAAAAATACAGTAATCACCAGCCATTAATAAACTGTCATCTACTAGAATCTGTTTTTCCTCTGTGAACTGACCTCCCTCTGTGTCGAACAGTCTTTGAAGGCTTTGAGGAAGTCTTGGATTTGGGGCTGGGCACATCTCCATTTTCAGATGGAGTAGTGTCCTTAATAGGTCCTGGTAAAGGAGCTGGCTCATGGATAATCAGGACATCATCTTTATTGTGCTGGCCCAGATGTTGCTTAGCAAAATCAAAGCCTTTCACACTGGGGGCTTGTAGCTGTGAGAGAAGAACAAAGACAAAAAACAGGAACAATGAGTACAAAGGCTTTGGTTAAGATCTGCAAACAATGCCCATTAGGAGGATGGTCAGGATATGGTAGTTTCAGGAATGGACATAAGAGAGCTGCAGGAACAAAAAAAAACAACCCACAAAACCCCCATGATTCTGTCATCTTACTTCAGTAGATAATATACAGTTTAAAACCCCTAATCAGCAAAACTAGTTAAAAAAAATAGCCTTCTGTTGCTGCTACATCTTTTCTCAGCTATTTCTTCAAATTTAATCATTGCCTGAGGAGCTTTTTGTGTACTTGTGGGCACAAGGCTGTAGATGCCTATGTACTGACTGAAATGGTTACCACTGTCAGATCATCTTTTCATTTGTTTCATTGTTTCTGTTTGTTTCACTCATTTCCAAAAATGAGTGAAGTTAGTTTAAATAATTTCAGTAACACATCATTGCTGATCTTCCTCATTTTAATCATCTCAAACCTGCAGGAGGTCTGGCAGTGCTTGTACAAACACCCAGTTTAGCTGATGAAAGAGAAACATTCTGTAAATCTGAATCATATGGCAGCCTGGCAACGACTTTTCAGTCAGGATGGATGCCCTCAGGAAAGTCCTGAAGATCTAGCTCTTAGAAATTTTATACTGAATAGATAGAAAAATATATAAAAGACTTTGGAGTTTAAAGAAATTAGATACTTATCCTAGAGATCTCATTAAAGGATTATGGATTCAATGGGTGTCTTGCTTGAGAAAGACGCAGAACTGGGCCTTTTCATAACTGTATTTATAAAAAGGCTACTATCACCTTGTCAATGACTTGATTCAGACCTAATTTAATCAAGCCTCCAAGTTTCAAGTTCTACTGCTGATTTCTTGGGGGCTTTGGAGTAATTAAAAATTCTGAAATACTAATTAATAGAAAGTTTTTCTTTGAGTCTTGCTCAATTTTATGTAGTTTGGAAGTGGAAAGAAACGTTGAGAACTCCAGTTTCCAACGTGCATGCACACATACTCACCACACAGCACATGCACAAAAGCTTCTGTGTGTTCCTAGAGTTGATTTCCTGCAAAGTGAAGCATGTGCTGGAGTGTGTTTATGGGTGCGTCAGGTTCCAGATGTTTAAATGAACCTCCTTTCATAAAGTTTGGCATACCAACATAGCTAACTACAAACAGACTCGTCTGATATCATGCCAAAGATAAGCTTGCCTAAGGAATATTCTCAAACAATCTCTTCAAAATATTTTCTTAGTAAGCAAACATTTTCCAAATGGTTCTTAGAAAGGGTGCCGTAGTAGAGCAAACTGCCTCTTTAAACCAGTAGATGGCAATAAAAGCTTTCCTGTAAAATCTAGCAACTATCTGAACGGTTGAGGTTCTGGAGTTAATTTCTCACAAAATGAGTAAGCTTATTATTTGAACAGAGCTGGATGTCTTCCATGATATTCCTTTTTTCATGGGCTTTACAACAGTCCCTTCAATTCAGTATTATGGGTGATTCGATTATTGAATTTATGTAAATCATTGCAACCACTGACTCAAAAAGGGACTGTTGAGCTAGATCTGGTGAAGGTGTAACAGTTTCTCCATTTTTTGAGTCATAGTCACCTAGGTGAATCCTTCCTTAAACCTCCGCTCAGAGTTGAAACACGGCCTTCAGGCTCTTGCTCCCTTAAAAACCAAGCCAAACAAATGAACCCAAATCTCCATGCCTTTTTTTTTTTTCCAAAGTACTTCTGAGGAGGAACTTTCCACTTCTGCTGTTAGAATTATCATGCCGGCTTGCGGCACTTTGATTACTGAAACTCCTCTTAGTTACTTCACCTCCACTTCTGATCTGTTTACGACATTATGTCTATTGTCTTTGAAGACGGTCCTGTGTGAGACACCCTCCCTTTGAACCCCCTTCAGTGGTTTCCCTTGTTCTAGCCTTTTCAATACTCCACCCATGCCTATACAACCCTGCTGCTGATCCTCAATGATCACTTCCTCTGTTTCGCTACATTCCCCTCCCTTGTCTCCAGTCCCCTTTGCTCCAAAGATAATGAGAGTCTTCACCGTGTGCTGGGCACAATTATTTCACAAAAATTCTTGTGTTCTTCTGCCCTTTCTTAAGCACCCTTGATTTGACTTACAAAGTTACTCTTTTTTGAATTGTGTGATGGGTGGGGTGGGCAGGCAAAACTAAAGAGATAAACTTTCTAGTAATATTGGAATAATTAGTATTGTTTTATTAAGATTACTATGTGTGTCAAGCATGCATTTCAATATACCTTAGAGTTCACTCTAACATACTGGGTTTGTAAACCCTCTGCAGAGTAAAGCAACATGCAAAAATTTAAATTTTTAATCTTTTAACTTTGAATGACCTTATTCCTAGCTGCAGTCTAACATAACCTTTTGTCTAAGCACACTTATGGAAACAGATATATCTACGTGTACATGTATGTACACCACAGCATATGTATGCACAAATGTTCATCTGCAGATAGACCACACAGAAGCTGGATTAAAAGACTGTTAGTATTGCAAAGACAAGCACTCACACTGTAAGAAATGGCACAGTTAAGATTGTCTGAACAATCACAATTGGATCCTTTCATGCACAGGGACTGCAACAGAGTCTTGAGTTATAAAATGATAAATTAACTTCTTCCATAGGAATCCTCTTGCCTTCTCCCACCCTGCTGGATCCTTGGCATAGGCTAGGCCTTCTGCTATTAGTCAAATTTGAGTAGAATATAAGAATGTTACTTGTAGAACCAGAATACTCATCTCATTTCACAGAGAAGCTGGCAAACACGTAATGAAAGAAGGAGGGGATGTAAGAAGAGAAAGGATGTATTATTCTACGCACATCTGCAGCTAGGGTGGCTCAGACTTTGCCAATGGATTTCGGGGACACTTGATGGCAACAGAGGACTGGCAAGTCTCTGGTATCACCATCCCAGGCCTCAAGAAGCACTCACCCAGAACCTGTGGCTCTATTTTCCTAAAGTTGCAGCCAGGTAAATGCCTCATCTGGTCTTACTCTTTCTTGCCAGGCAGAACCAGTCTCTCCATCCCACCCTCTTGATCCTCTCTCCCTCTGCCTACCAGCTGCCAGTTCCAGATTATACTCTCACTACTCCTTATATGAGGAGGCTCACTGCTCCTTATTCCTTTACCTGGCCTCATAGCAACCTCTGTGTACAGTGACAGAGAAAAAACTCTCTCAGCTTTTAAGTGACAATTCTACAGAGCTTATATGCGCAGAACAGGTGTAATCCTATCAGAATTTAACTGGTAAGCCTCTAACAAGTCTCTGTCAATCACATGCAAACATTTTCCCAAACGTTTAAAACTTAGTTGGAAGTGGGTGATTTCCCACAGAATCAGCCAAAGCATCTCCTTCACACAAAACAACCTTCTGGTCTTGTTTCCTTTCCTTTCCCATTCTGTACCCGCAAAGGCTGAGAAGATGCACTAGAGCTTCTCCAAAACAATGTTTAAAATTTGGACAGAGCACTCTATTTCCTCTTAACTTTGTTCTTTGAAAAAACAAGCTCTTCTTATCATCTTAAAAAAAGATTCAGTATGAAACTGATACTTGAATGGAAAACTTCAGCCTGAATGATTCAAATCTTGCAGAGTTTTGTACAAATAATGACATTTCTAGATATCTCCTGTGAAAAAAGCTTAAGTTGGCACTGCCAGCTCCAGCCGATATACGAACAGTATGAGAGATTGTATGCATGTGTGTGTGTCTTTGCACATATGAATGAAAGAACACGACAGAAAAAATATAATGTAAAAATACAGATATATAAAACATGGTAACTGACTGAACATGAAAAGATGGTCCCCAATGAAAAAATTGGTAGGACAACTTATTAAAAATAATACCCATTATTTGAGAAATAGAAATACTATTATTACTACTACAGCAGAAACAACACTGACAGAAATCCCCTTCGTTTTTTTTTTTAAAAAAAAAAACAAACTGAATTTCTGATACCTCACCTCTCAGACCATGGTAACATTATGATTTCAACTTAGAACTGATACCAAAATCTATGTTTTCAGTGAAAAGTGTTTGAAAGACACTGAAACACAACTCTGCCTTCTGCAAGACTAGATCACTGAGACTCAGTGGAACAAACGAATAGTGTTTTCAAACTAAAGAAGTTTCCTACATTTTCTTATGAATTTCTGTGTGACGCCTGCCACATTCTTCCTTTTCTTCATATCAAGTTATACAGTGAAACAGATTGGATGATCTCTCGTCATCTTAGGACAGGTGGTTAGAATACCACGTGTGGATCTATCATCTACTACTCATAAATTAACCACCACCAAGGAATGAATACAATCTCTTTTTAAGAGCACATTTGTGGTGATATCGCTACCTGTTCAGGTGCTGAATTGAGCATCTCTTTATCAGCCTAAAATGCCTTTACTTAAGACTGCACAAAACTAGTATTAGCAAAGATTCCTTGTTTTAAATGTAAGTTGTTAGAGAATGTAGTTGTTTTCATTTGTTTTGCCTTTATATACTTGTGAAAGGGAAAAGATACACTACTCTTAAACTTACCACAAAGATCAACGCATCTAAACTACTGCATTCATAAGGCATTATATAATTATACAAATGCAGAACCTGCTGAAATCTAAGGAGAAGATGATTTAAAACTGGTAAATCAAGATAGTGCTTTAATTCTATTGTTACATACTGAATGAAATAAAAAATATTTGAAGCTTGAATAATTGAAAAATCAAATCATTTCTACAGAAACCTGCAAAGCCTGTGCACCTCAGTCAAGACTTATTCCATGAAAGCAGCTAATAGTTTCAGCACTGTTCAAGTCACAGAAATATAACATCGTTTCCAATATATTGTTTTCCTAGATGCAGAGACACACCAGGAATGTCAACAATCTGTTTTCTCAAGAAGGCAAATACTGCACACACAGGTCAGTGAATAATTTCAGCAGAAAGCAGAAGAGAAAG